TCCACATCCTTTTTGAATTGTGGAGCCCAGAACTTGATACAGTACCAGCTGCAGTCTCACCAAGGCTGAGTACAGCGGGAAGATGATATCCTGAGATTTGCTTGAGAAGCATCTGTGGATGCAAGCCAGAGTTTTGCTCACTTGGAACTAAGTATAGAATAAGAAGTGAGATGTCTGTTAGCAAATACAGTCTGGGAACACATTGTAACTATATTAGTTTAAGCTCCTCTAGAACAGGATGAGCACTGTTAATCAATCTGTGTCCTTTGTGCTGTTTCAGGTGCGGTATGATGATGAGGTGAAACGGGTAGTTGCAGAGCCTTTGGAACTAGCCCAGGAGTTCCGCAAATTTGATCTGAATAGTCCCTGGGAGACATTTCCTGCCTATCGTGAAGCTCCAGAACCCTTAACAATAGAAGCAGGAGACAAGAAAGGAGATGTGAAATAGCTGTAGAAAGAAGAGAGAGCTTGGGCCTTCCCTTGTGGAATTGCCCTTCCTATTCTACCTTCATATTTATGAGAATAAAATTTGATGGTGACACTTGTCTGCTGTAGACTCCTGAAAGGAAGATGCTTTCCAGTTGATTGAAAAGCAGCTGGAGGTTATGGTACAATCCTAGTAAAGCTGTCTCTGCTGGGTCATCATCAGGCTGCTGTGTTTTGGATCTAAAACTGTTCTCGGCAGACATTTGGAGAAAACTTCATTTCAAGTTCAGGCAACACAGTGTCCTAAGGTGCTTCTGTTCAAATTGGCAGTCATCAAAGTTTAATAACTACAACTCTGATAGGAGATAGTATTAGATACAGAAGCTTCCATAAAGCCAACCAGAACTTATGGTCTGTACATACAGGCTTGCTTAGTCATCACAGTGGGGTTGTTAAAGTTTTAACTAATAATAAAAATCACAAACAAGAACAATAATTCATAAATGGGGTGGGGGGTAGAAGTTCCTAATTTATAACAACCAAGTAGGGGGGTAGAACTGGATAATGAAGAAAGTCAGTAGTTAAGTTGTGTACCCAGTACATAAAAATGACTACAAGGAGATTACAAAGTGCAGGGGAAAACATTAATTGGGAGAATCTACTTTGTGTTTCCTTTCACACTATGAAAAAGTTACTGTTTCTCGTCCCCATAACATGAAGAGCTATATGCACAGGAATCAACAATTGTTCTAACTTGTATTCAGCTTCACTCTCACTCTACACACAACACCATCTGAGTCAATAACATGGAAACATATAACTAGTAGAAAGTGATGCATGAAACAGGGTCCACAGCTGCCACTTTTGCATTGTGAGAATACCAGGGATAAATAAGCTCTTTCTATAGTCATTATCTATTGCACAAGAAGGAAAAGTTCTTGGAAGTATAATTATAGACAATGGTTTTATAAACTCTCTTCTCTACTACAACTTCCAAAAATTGCTAGAATATTATAGTGTGATTGTGTACAAAGTTAAAAAAAAAAGTGAAAGGCCCGGTGCCCCACCAAGGTAATTCACAATGTTAAAAATGCTATAGAAGGATGGTAGGAGAATCCGCGTTGCTATCCTAGTGCAAGTAAAGCACTTGGCTCATGGAGGAGTTCTTTACTATACAGAATTATTTTTTAAGGAAACCCAGTTTGTGACTGAAGCCAAATTGCTTCTGGTAACAGAAAGTCAAGGGTTTACAACTGTAGAAAGTGGCTTTCACAGCTGTAGCCTATTTACCTACTCACACTATCCTGGGATACTACAGAGCATTACCTAAGGCTGCTTAAGAAAGGCAGCTAACATGCAGATGTGACTGGAAGATTCAGTGTGTGATGGTAATGAGAAGGAACTATGATCCTATTGGGGTTGCCTCAATGCTCTCCTGAGGTGATGAGGAGCAATGGGAAACATTTGTCTTGAAATACTGAAGCTATGTGAAAAATGTATATTTTTCCTTTACTGGAGAGTATAAGCACAAAGCTCTGTTTAAGGCTGGTGTGTTCTCAAAGCACTGCGGTGTCTAATGGGCTCTGACAAGTCCCACTGGAGAAAGACGACAATTTTCCTCAGCAGCTGAGCTTGAATTACTTCCTCTTTGGGGATTGCTATTGCTTTGAAATCTAGTGCAAAAAAAGCTCACTGCTCAAGGCATAGTGTAGTGATTTGGGGAACTTTAGCTTACAGATACATGGAAAAGAAGCAGTTAGATGCTGCCGTTGATTTCATCTGGTCTTCCATCTAGAAATCAACAAATAAAAGCTATAAACTGGGCGCATCTACATGTGTCAATTTAAGGTGCTTTAGCCTTTTTTAAGGTGCATTAAGGGCATGAGTCTACACATGAGCACCCTTAATATGCCTTAAAAATGGTGATTTTAGGCTAATCATGCCTAAATTTGATACCTGCATAAGGTAGGTATCAAATTTGGGCATGAATACTTAAGGCACCTTACAGGATGTGTAGAAGCCTTAAGGCACATTAATGCTGTCTATGATGACTGAGCAGGCCAGAGCTGAGTCCATGGGGCCCCGCACTGCCAACAAGAAGCGGCAGGTGCCGTTCCCCAAGGCACAGACGCTGGATCTGGAGCAGTGGTACCTATCGGTGTGTCAACCAACTTGGGACCAAGTCAGCGACCTAAGAATCGAAGGGAAGCTGGGAGACAGCGATCGTGAGCTGATCACTTTCACTATCCATTGCAAAGCTGGCAAGTCAGCAGTGCACAAGTCCTCAAGTTCAGGAAAGCTGACTTTGATGAGCTCAGGAGGCTTGTTGTCAAGTCCCTGAGAGGCCATGACTCGACAGGGAGCAGAGTTCATGACGAATGGTCGCTCCTTAAGAGAGCGATCCTAGAAGCACCAGGGATGTCCATCCCAACCCATAGGAAAAGTAGTAAATGGGCACAGCAACCCCCTTGGCTCAACAGGGAACTCGTGGACCTCTTACGTCTAAAAAGAGAGGCTTCTAAAGGATGGAAGACGGGAAGCATTGCTAAGGAGGAGTATTCTGCAGTGGTCTGCACCTGTACGGGGTGAACCAGGAAAGCCAAGTCTTTAACCGAACTCCAACCAGCTACACAAATCAAGAACAATAAAAAGTCCTTCTTCAGATATGTGGGGTATCAGAAGAAAAACAAGGGTAACGCTGGTCCCCTGCTAAACCAAATGGGACAGTTGACAACCAACATGCAGAAAAAAAGCCAACCTGCTTAATGATTACTTTGCACTGGTTTTTCATCAGCCCAAAGGGACCGCCCTGCCTAACATGATGCAGGATGGCCAGGGCAAGGGTGAATATACACCTATCATTGGTGTCGACCTAGTGAAGGAACACCTTGAGAGGCTGGACACCCACAAATTAACTGGTCTGGACAGATTGCACCCAAGAGTGCTTAAGGAACTGGCAGGCATCATAGCGCGGCCACTGGCAAGGATATTTGAGAACTCATGGTGCTTGGGCAAAGTACCTGAAGATTGGAAGAGAGCCAATATGGTGCCTATCTTCAAGAAAGGGAGGAAGGAAGACCCGGAGAACTACAGGCCAATCAGTTTGACCCCAATCCCTGGAAGCATCTTGGAAAAAATTAGCTAAGAAACCATTCTCGATAGGCCATAGCGCGGCCACTGGCAAGGATATTTGAGAACTCATGGTGCTTGGGCAAAGTACCTGAAGATTGGAAGAGAGCCAATATGGTGCCTATCTTCAAGAAAGGGAGGAAGGAAGACCCGGAGAACTACAGGCCAATCAGTTTGACCCCAATCCCTGGAAGCATCTTGGAAAAAATTAGCTAAGAAACCATTCTCGATAGGCTAGCTAAAGGCAACATTCTAAGGAACAGCCAGCACAGGTTTGTTGCAGGTAGATCTTGCCTGACCAATCTCATTTCTTTCTATGATCAGGTGACCTATCACCTGGACAAAGGGGAAGAGGTTGATATCATATATCTGGACTTTAAAAAAGCCTTTGCTCTGGTGTACCACAATGTCCTCATGGAAAAATTGGCCAACTGCAGCCTCGGCTACACTACAGTCTGATGCCTGGGGAACTGGCTCCAAGGTCGGATCTAGAGGGTGGTAGTTGTTGGAACTGAATCAACATGGCACTCAGTGACCAGTGGTGTCCCCTGACACTCTGTTCTTGGACCTGTACTCTTTAACATCTTTATAAACGATCTGGACTCTGGTGTCAGAAGTAGACTGGCTAAGTTCACTGATGACACCAGATTTTGGGGAATGGTGTCCATGCTTGAGGTTAAGCTGGTTATCCAACTGACCTTGATAGGCTTGCAAGGTTGGCGGACGAATACCTGATGGCATTCAATATAGAGAAATGCAAGGTGCTCCACCTCGGGGGGGGGGGGAAACCTGG